CAATCCTGATACCACATTTTTCTTTATAGTCAAGTTTCTTGGATTATCTACTCATCCTACAGACTGGATAAGCATGATAAAAGGATATAACCCTCACACACATCTTTCTTGACTTTAAATCATTCAGTATCCTCTTTGTTCTGTCCAAATAACTGTGTCTTGGTTTACAGATTCTGGAGGAGCACAATTAAGTGTTCTGGAATGCACATAAAGTGATTGAAAACACCATATCTTTACAACGTTATCCATAGTTTGTTATGATCCACACAGTCAAATGCTTTTGCACAGTCAATAAATCACATTTAAAATCTCTCTGGTATTATCTGCTTTCAGTCAAAATTCATCTGACATCACAAAAACATTCCTCCTTCCATGTCCTCTACTGAATCTGGTTTAAATTTCTGGAAGCTCTCTTGATGCACTGTTACAACTGGTTTTAAATTATCTTCAGCAAAATTTTACTTGATATTAATTATATTGTTTGATGATTTCCACATTCCATTGGGTCACATTTCTTTTGAATAGGCACAAATGTGGATCTCTTCAAATTAGTTAGCCAGGTAGTTGTCTTCCATATTTCTTGGCATAGATGAATCAGCACCACTAGTGCTTTTATCAGTTTGTTAAAAGATTTCTATTTTTATTTCATCAATTCCTGGACCCTTGTTTTGTGTTACTATCTTCAATGCAGCTTGAACTTCTTCCTTCCGTACCATTGGTTCTCAGTTACATGCTACCTCTTGAAATGGTTGAAAAGCAACCAATTCTTTTTGGTACAGTGACTCTATATTCCTTCCATCTTTTTTGGAGGGGGGAGGGATGCTTTCTGCATCATTCAATATTTTGCCTATACAATAATTCAATACTGTAACCCAAGTCTTGAATTTTTTAATTAGGTTCCAACTCATAGCGACCCTTCTTTCAGCTTGAGAAATGCTGAGCATCTTCTTCCCTTTTGCTCTTCTGACTTCAGCTCTTTGCATATTTAATTATAATATTTTACTTTGTCTTCTTGAGCTTCCCTCTGAAGTTCTGTTCAGCTCTTTAACGTTACTGTTTCTTCCAGGTGCTTTAGCTTTTCTACATTCAAGAGCAACTTTCAGAATATTTTCTTTATTTCCTGGCTTTTTAATGACCTTGTTATTCCTGTATGACATTCTTGATGTCATCCCACAACTCCTCAGATCTTCAATCATTAGTATCTACTGCATGAAATCTGTTCTTGAGATGATCTCAAAATTCAGGTGGGATATACTCAAAGTGTGTTTTAGCTTTCATGGACTTGTTTAAATTTTCTTTAGCTTCAGCCTGAACTTGTATATGAGCAATTAATGACCTGTTCCACAGTCTTTCCCTGGCCTTGTTTTGGCTAATGCTATTTAGCTTCTCCATTGTCTCTTCCCACAGATGTAGTCAGTTTGATTCCTGTGTATCCCATCCAAAGAAGTATTCATGTAAAGTCATCTCTTATGTTGTTACAAAAAGGTATTTGCAGTGAGTAATTCATTGGTCTTGTGACATTGTATCATGCCATCTCCTGCATTGTTTTTATCACAAAGTCAATGTTTCCAACTACTGATCCTTCCTCTTTGTTTCTAATTTTTGCATTCCAATCACCAGTAACTATCAATGCATTTTGATTGCATGTATGATCAATTTCAGACTGAAGAAGTTGGTTGTTGTTAAGTGCTATTGAGCCTGTTCTGACTCACAGAGACTCTATATAGGGTTTAAGAGGAGCAATTGGTGGGTTTGAACTGCCAAAGTTTTGGTTAGCACTCTACTGTTTATCCTACAGCATATAATTCTTCAATTTCTTTATTATTGATCTTAGTTGTTTGTGTATGTATTTGAAAATTAGTCATATTAACTGATCTTCCTTGTAGGCAATAGATATTATCCTATCACATGTAGCATTGTACTTCAAGATAGATCTTGAAATGTTCTTTTTGCTAATGAATGTGAGGCCATTCCAGGCACAGTAAACCATATATGCTTATCTGATCAAAATGGTCAATACCAATCCATTTCAGTTAACTAATTCTTAGGATACCAAACTTAGTGTTCCATTTCATTTTTGAGAACTTCCAGTTTTCCTAGATTCATACTCTGTACATTACACATTCCAATTATTAATTGATGTTTGCTGCTGTTTATTCTCATTTTGAATTGTGCACAATCAGGAAATGAAGACCTTGAAAACTTTGCTCTATCTGCATCATTAAGATCAGCTCTACTTTGTGAGGTAGTTCTTCCCCAGTTGTATTTTTGAGTCCATCCTGAGGGGTTCATCTTCTGGCACTATATCAGATAAAGTTCTACTGCTATTCATAAAGTTTTCAGTGGCTAACCTTTCAGAAACAGTCCACTTTTCATTCTTTCCCTGTCTTAGTCTAGAAGCTCTGCTGTAACCTGTCCACCATGGGTGACCCTACTAGTATTTAAATACCAGTGGCCTAGTTTCTAGGAACATATAAGCCACCACAGTACAACTAACTGACAGATCAGTGGTGATTAGGACTCATAGAGACACTATATGGGGTTTCTGAAGACTGTATGTCTCTATGGAAACAGCCTCATCTTTCTCCTGAAGAATGACTGGTGGATTCATAAACCAATGACCTTGCGATTAGCAGCCGTGCTCCACAGAGCCACCTGGGCTATTTAGTTTCAGTTTAGAGTCCTCTCAATTTGTTTTCTAAGTCTCTGTTTAAACCATTCTTACTTGTTCTGTGAGGGGCACTCCATCCTACACGTTTTTTCACAGCTGAAAGTGTATTTTTGTCCTTAACCAAACATCCATTAATTGTTGTTATAAAAGGGCCGTATTGCAAGTGGTAAGGAGTAAAGGTTGCAAAATTAGGCAATCTTAGTTCAAGTTCTGCCTCTACAACTGGATGATGTTTATACTGGGGCAAGTTACTTATCATATCTATAACTCTGTGTTTCAGCTGTAAAATGAGAGTAATAATAGTTGTTATTAAGTATAAATGAGATAAGATGTGTAAAATATTTATTAAAATGACTGGCTCATGGTAAATACTCAATAAATTCTAGTCACCCTAAGAAACGACTGCCTCTTTTTAACTAAAAATAAATAATTTTGCATAGCTTCTTAATATTTTCTACCATCAAAAGTCAAAGGAACTAACATTATAGGAATTTTCCAATGAAGAATCTGACATTTCTGACAGACCATCATGATTAAGTCAATTTTTAGAAAATTCATATTTCTCTTTGACACACTTAGAAAATTTCCATTTGCCTCTTGTGTGCACTTTTTATTTTCAGACGCCAAGTGGCTCAGGATTAAAAAAAAATGGATAAAACTATCATCTGTAAGTGTAATATTTTTTCACCAAAATATTATAGACCATGCTTACTTGGTGAATAGTAACCCCCAGGACTGTGGCCCTTAGTTACTCTTCAAACCTGGAACTGAACTTACCCCTATGACTCAACTTTCAGAAAAACAATAAACAAACTTACCAAGTGACCAACAACACCAGAAATATATGCATACACACTTCTTAAAAACAAGCAACCAATGAGATCAAAAAGGCAGTGTTTGCCAAGAGACAAAGTTCAGAAGGTAAGAAAGAAGAGGAAAGAAGGTCAAATGGAAAGGGAAGCACATGGAGGATACCACATGAGTGCTTGCAAAAGGACTGTGGAGTTGTAATCAATGTCATAAAATAAAATGTGTATGATTTGTTGAATGGAAAGTTAATTTGCTCTGTAGACCTTCACTAAAATCACAATAAAAAGCTTTAAAAAGATATGGTAGTCTTTTAAAATGCCTTCTTGGTTTCCACATGAAGAAGGTGTGTCAGCCAAACACACAATTCATCTGTGAATCACAAGTAATTAACAATGAGTAGATAGTCTTGGCAGGCTTCACTTCATAATCCAAGTGTGTGCTTTAGAAAGATAATATGCGTCTGATAGGGATGGCCACAAGATAAGTTCCTTTTCCCTGGTGGCAGTGGTAAGATTATCTCTGCATCTTCCTTATTACCTATTGTCTCTGGAAGATCAATATACTAGTATCATACAGAATGAATCTAAGAAGGTAGGACCTCAGAAATGAAGGAAAAACAGGAAGTAATTGTGTTACCCAGACACAAGGTCATCAGGACACAGACTAGCTTGGGGACAAGTAGAAAAAAGTTAAAATATAAGCAGCGATGTTTGAGAAGAATCCAGGTCTTGGAGACTGATTATACATAAATGACAAGGGAAGAGAATTGTCATAGATAAATCCAATGTTTCAGAGTTGGGAGTTTGGGGCAAAAGTTGAAGAACTAGTTATGGCCTGTTGATTTAAGCATGGTAGGTATGTAGTGATTGGTGGGTAGAAGGGCTCAGAAAAAGAAAGATCAAGTAGCAAGGCTGTTTAATCAAGAAAGGGCATCTGTCTGAATTAGTCAGGGAGGGGGCCCTGGTGGTAATCAAGATATGCTGTGGTAAAGGTAAAAGTGAGTTTTTCGTAATTCTCATAATGTATCTATGTGTACATTAATTTAAAGGAAATTTAAAGAAAAGTATTCAATAATAAATAATAGTAGGGCAACATGCAGACATGATAAAAATTATAGAAATGATACATAAAGAAACAAGCTAGGGAACCCTCTCACAATAAGACTCAAGGATTAGGGTAGTCCTTAATGGTAATTCTAGATGGGGAATTATAAAGCTACAAAGGTCACCCAGTCACCTGACTCCCCTGAGATGGTAACAGGAAGACTCTTGGTGGTTTTGAAAGCCTTGAGGATTTCTTCCCAGGATCATAATTAAAGTTTGAGGCATAAAGTCCTCAAAAATTGAATGTTTCCTTTTCCCAAATGGGCAATTTGCACTTCTGAGGCTCAGTTTTCCAGAGTAACCACCATCATGCTTCTCCCTGGACCATTTCCTCATAGCTGCATATCCCGAGCTCTCATAACTCTGTTTCCAACATAAACATTTAAAATATATATTTATTTATTTATTTATTTTACCTTTAGAGACACTCGTTTGGCTGCTTTTGAATCCTCTACAGGCTCTTCATCTTCTGAAAGGTTACGTGTTTCCTCTGTCGGCTGAACTTCTGGAATTTCCTGAGGTTTAGATACCATACTACCTGTGTCTGAGACTCCCCATTCTGATATGTCCTCTTGTTCAATTTGAAATATACTAGATAAGTCTTCAGGAAGTTCTTCAAGCAGAGTTTGCTAGAAAAGGTAAACATAAAAGAATGTTCTTTTTATTGACCCCCTCCAAATTTTTAAGTCATGTAATACTTTCTAACAACAAAATAAACAGGCAAAGACGTGTTTAACATTAAGCAGAATGATAAATTTCCTCTGAAGGTTTAGAAACTCAAAACTTAAGGAAAATGGAGGCTGGCAAAGTGTTGTCCTCAGCCCTTTGTCACAGAAAAGATACTACACTGCAGTTATTATCACAGACTCCAAGAAAATAGACAAACTATGAGCTTACCTTCACTTCATCCAACACTCACACAGAGTCAAGGGCTAGTGTACATTCAACAAAAAGTCATTGCTGATCTTCATTTTCATTATCCCAGTGTAGTTTCTGATCAGTGTAGTTTCGTAGGTCCACTAAGACATCTGAGCCCTACCCAAGCCTGAGGTTGTTTGGGCTTGACAAATGGGATGCTACTCCTACTGAAACCTGGCCTCAGTTGCTCAAGGAATAATGTAGTACTGACTCAACAGTCTTGGAAAGACCCCAGGACCACCTCAGCTCCATCATGAGGCCAAATGAAAATTCCTCACTAATTCTCACCCCTACACCTATTTTGTGTTTCTTAAAACTATCTCACTGAGCTACAGCTGTATCTTAGCAGGTCTTAGTGAAGTATCTTCATGGCCAATTTAAACCAAAATCATTTGCTTTTGTGGAGCAAAGGCAGTTAAAACCCCCACTGCCTCAAATTAAAAAACGGTAAAAACCAATCGTACGTAAAAATCTGAATTCTATAGAATGACTGTGAGATGCAATTCTGTCGCTTTGTTTTTGATATCATCATTTGCTAATAAGTAAAATAAAAGGAACAATGACATATGGTAGCAAATATTATATAAGAACAATAGTTCTTTAGTATGCAAGAAGGAAATTTTTAAGAAAATAAAATTTTGTAAAATGAAATTTTAATCTTAAACTTGTATTTTTATAAACCCACTAGATGGGAAAGGGTAAGAACTTTGGAATCAGATGGGACTGAATTTACATCCTGAATCTGTCCATAAGTAGATATATGATATTTGTCAGATTATTTAACTTTGTTTAGCTTAATTTTCCACATTGACTGAAAAGGTAACTAACAAAGCTGTCAATAAAATGGCAGAGGATGGTATGTACAATGGACCATCCACCTACTCATTGATTTTTATGTCCCAGAGGTTTTTTTGGTCTTTTTAGTATTTTATTGTGAATTATGTGATAGTTTACATGGGAGAACATTAGCTTTACATTCATCCTATTATATATAATTTCATTGCTATGGCTACAATACCCTCCATGCACCATCAACCAACCAAAGGGTATACACTACAAGCCTGCCCCCCGGTTGTCAGCACACAGCCCCTCTCCCTCTCTGGGCCTAAAGTCCCCAGCCGCTCCATCTCTCCACATCATCGTCTCTGCCTCCATCTCTGGCTTAACTTATTCTCTGGGTAGGGTCCTGCTCTCTGCTCTTCACCCTTGATGGTCCCAGGGACTTCTGCTCCTAGACTGCAAAATCAATCACTCCCCTCCTTTTGTTTCAAAATGTCCACTTTTATATTTCCAATCGTCACAATCAGTCCTGATAACAATTATTCACTATTGTATCACAAAAGACCTATCCACATCTGCTTTCATCAGCCCTGCCCAGACAGATTGGATACTACTCAGTGGAGACTCTACCTTCCTCCATGCCCTCTGGATCTAGGTTCCCTCTTGAAAGCTTGTAAGCCAGTCACTTCTTGCCTTTGTAGCCCCCTCATTTTGCATTGCCAATGTCCGAGTTGCCCATCCCTGTCTACTTTGTGTATGGAGGGGGTGGTAATGATCCTCACTGTAAAGATTTGTTTCCCCCTTTTGAGGTACTGCTTCCATAGGTGTAGGTCAAGTTCATCAAATTGTATTAGAATGTCCCATAGGTTTTGTTCACTCCCTTACTTTTGGCCTTTTTTTTAATTTAAAATTTTTTTTATTTTTATTCCTGACTTCCTATTTTTATTCTTTGTAAATATGTGAGGCAATTGCTCCTCATGATGGTTCTTTATATTTGAAGTGGTTGCCTCTTAAGAAAAAGTGTTCCACTAAGAATGCTCTTTTTAACTTCAGTGGGCAGCAGGTTTGTCAACAGGGAGGGAAAACTCAGTAAAGAAGGCTAAGAATGATTGTACAACTTGAAATCCAATCAATGTCACTGAATTCCAATCAATGTCATTGAATTGTACATGTAGAAATGTTTGAACTGGTGTACGTTTTGTTGTGTATATTCTCAACAATTATAATAAAATTTTAAAAATAATAATAATAATGGTCCTTTTTTAAAAGGAAGCAAATTGCATGAAAGAGCTTAGAGGGCTCTGCCCTGTGGCACTGAGACAGTCATAATGAAACTGCAATAATCTGAAGGCAGCATCCCAGGCACCACTTAGAAAAGAGCTGATCTTCCTAGGATAGGACCTGCTGCCCAGAGCTGCCCAGAAAAATCTTAGCCCAGGAACTGGCAAGGGCAGTTTCTAGGGCAGTCTGAGGGACAAAGAGAGTTTTGCTGTCTGGCATGGAGGAGCCACCAAAAAAGTATGTCTGGAATGAATGATACTGCAGAAGAATCTTTTTACCATGGCTAAGTGCATGAGACATTTTACCTCTAAAGTAATAAGTTTCCTCATAAAAAGCCAAAGTCAATGGTCAATAGGTGATTATGCTTATAAATGTCAATGCTGAGAGTATGGTTTCCAAAGTTACAAAAAACTCTGTTATTTTGTTTATATCTTTATTTTAAATAACCAAGATGATGTCTAAACTAGGTTTCTAGTAGTTGGTCTCTTTCACTGTTTCCTTCAAATGATATATTTTCTTATACATTATATGAGTATGTAACTAAGGGTATTAAGTCCAGTTTATTATATTAATAAGGATTTCTATATCCCTAAACTTAACTAATGGAACATTTGAAGCTTCATGTGCTTTTTGTTGTTGTTAATCATCGTTGACTCAGTTCCCTCTCATAGTGACCTTGTGCAGGGTTTCCACGGAGTGACTGCTGGGTTAGAACCATCAACCTTTCTGTTATCTGTGTAGTGCTGATCCTACAATGTCACACCAGGACCCCAATGTGCTTATGAGAGATCTTTAAAGGACAGAGGTTTTTAAAAATATCTCCCCAGAAATAATGTAACCTAGAGCCAACTACCCTAGATATCAGTTGTAGGCTCGTAGTTTATTTGGGAAAAGTGTACAATGCAGGTATCCTAACTTTGGGGAAAAGATATGTCTCCATCCAAAAGTATCCCAAACTCTAGTAATTCAAAGGTTTACAGCATCCATGGTTGTTGTAAAAAGAAAACATGAGTTTTCTTAACATGGTAAGTTTTCTTTAAAATGAAAGATAACCTGAATTTTTATGCATGTGAGATCATATTCTAAGGAACTTACTATTTAATGACATCATTTGACAAATCATTTGGAAAGGAACTGGTCATCATGCCATCATCATTTGTTTAATGTAAATGTGGATTTCTATACACAAGAAACACTTCCCACTCACATAAAATAGGTTCTAAATTTCTTTGACTACCACAGGTATTTTGCCAATAATGGATGAATAGGAAGTTTTATTTCTGAAATAGGCTTCTATCACTAACTATCCATCTTTGTCTACAAAAGTCTCTCCTGGTCAGTCCTTTAACAGTTCTTCCTCCTAAAAGAAGAGGCTCTCTTATAAGTTTATAAGATGTAAGGTGATGTTCTCTTATAAGCTAACACCATTTTCATAATTATCCAATTCTTTTCTAGATCTGAATGTCTCTAGACCAGAGGAATTGTTAACTCTTTCCCTGTTAAAAGAATTTTGAGCTTTAACTCAGAAAGTCTATGGGTGGGTATCAGTGGAGTCAGAAAATGTGGATTCCCAGTTGATAATGGGTTAAATTTACTTCGAAAATAAACTAGATATCTTTAAAATATGCAAGCAATAAGAGGCAGCTTCTCACTATACTATCTCAGGAAAAAGCAAATCAGTTGGTATTGAATCGATTCTGATTTATGGCAAGCCCATGTGTTTCAGAGTAGAACTGTGCTCCCAGGATTTTCAATGGCTGTGATCTTTATAAAGTAAGCTACTAGGCCTTTCCAGGTTTCAAGGTTGCTTCTGGGTGGATTCAAACTGTCAACCTTTCAGTTAGTAGCTGAGCATTTAACCACCTGTACCATCCAGGGACTCCATTCTAATGTAGATAAGGAATATATATTTATTAAAGATTTTACCATACGCGGTTCCTCGGCACTTATCTGTAATCCGAGCTCAGATTGTGTCTGAGATTCTTTGTGCCACTGAATTTTCCCCATTAAAGAAACATCCTAGACGGGCGAGAAAAAAAAAAAAAAAATTACAATAAAGCCAGTTTTTAAAATCAGTGATACATTCAATGTAACAAATATCTGGTCAATATATGCAGTAAATGAGAAATATAGGAGAAATGTAATTTAGTCAATGTAACAAATGAGAAATTCAAAACAAAAGGTACAATCAAAAGTTTTTGTCTATTCATTACAAGTTCGTGGCTTTTAAAATTATTGATTTCTATAAACATATCACCAGATTTAAAAGCCAACGTTTTTGGTGTTGTTAAGTGATGTCTTATTAAGTCAGTTAGTCTGAAACAGTGCAGAGGATCATTTCAGAATAATAAAAGAGGCAACTCATTAAGAAGATACAGCACTCTACACTAATGGCAGAACTTCAAAATACACAAAATAAAAATTGACCAAATTAAAAGGAAAATCAAATAAATACACATTTAAAATTATAAATTTCAAACCAGAAGCTATCAGACTCCAGATACATCACTCTTAATGATATGTAATTAATAACTAGGCTAATAGATATACTAGCAAGACACTAAATGTGAAAGTCAGTAAAATAATTTATATTCTTATAGATTTATAAAGATATTATTGAAGTATAAACACATGAGAGACACAAAATTCA